TATATATATATATATGTGTGTGTGTGTGTGTATGTATATATATATATATGTGTGTGTGTGTATGTATATGTATGTGATATAAATGTCCTTGGTAACTCCCTCTGCTCTCTCAACAGGGTTCCTCGGTTCTGGACGTCCCAGTGGGTTCATGAAGACCGCGATGACTCCCCTCATCCAGAGCTGTGGACAGAGTGGTGTGTTTGGCCCCAGTCAGACACACAGCCCCACCACGGCTCTATGGCTCTCTGCTCGGACACCTGCCTGCCCCAGTACCCCCATGCTGTCCACACGCGGGTAGGAGCATGAGGACATGATACCACTCAGTGCATAAAAAGAGAATCCTCTGAAGCAACATGTGAATGCAGCAAAATCATAGAGACCAGCAGCAATGGAGCTCTGACTGTCTGGGTTGTCCAACTGGTATTTTCCAGTGGCTGCAGGTGGGATCACCGCCTGGCATGCAGTTAATAGTCCGTTCCTCTAAAGCATGTTTGATGCTATAGCTTTAAGTGTAGCCAAAACGATTAGTTGATTAATGATGGAAAATCAGGTTCATTATACTGTAAGTTATTTATTTTGCACTGTTGGTTGGACAAAACAAGCAATTAAGACGTTACCCTGGACTCTGGGGAATTATTCTGGTAATTCTTCACTATCGTTTTGCATTGCAGTGACTAAATGGTAAATTGTTCCATTATGCATTACTTTTTTAAAATAAATGATTGTGTGTTTCACCAGTTCTATTCTAGCAGAAGTCAGTTACTGGGCAGCAGAAGAATGAAGAAGATGCTACAGGCTCTTTCTGTTGAATCGTGTGCCGGCTTATACTTCACACACTTCTGTGAACAATCTGGAAACCAGGTACAACAGCAGCTACTGGGTTGTTTGCATGTTGCATCACATTAAAATGTAATTATTATCATATTGTGGTGCAATAAAATCTTTTATTTGATGTGATGGACGGAGACCATGATGACAGTTACTGAGGTTCTCATTTCCTGTCACAGCTGTGGGAGAATGCAGTTAACCTTTGGACTGACCTGCAGCACTACCATGAGCTTTTCTATCAGGACGGACTGGACCCCTACCGAGTCCAGAGAGAGACACAGGTCAGCAGAACAACCTGATCTTTTGGTGTTTGTGCTGAAGGTATCACACACACACCTGCTCTTGTTTGCATGCTCTCTTGGCCTGACACTCCTGTTCTCCTCTCTGCCCTCTCTAATTTAAACGCCCATAAAACAAGCAAGTCTGACCCCCCCCCCCCCCCCCCCCCCCCCCCCCCCCCCCCGCCACCCCCACAACCCCCCACCCCCCACCCCAGT